CACACACACATACACACACACACACACGCACACACACACTTGTTCCTCTAATACGCTGATGGAAGTAGTCAGCGGGTTCAAGAGTACGAGGACTGGCTACGCTCAAGAAAACCACCAGCCCTCAAGGCGGAGGTGGCCTAAGCCCTCAAGAGAGCGTCCTGGTCTAAGCCCCCTTCATCCCTTTCGGGAATGGCTTCGTCACTGGTCCTGACTAATACACGCCCCACCCCCACATCCGACTGGCGACAAGCCTGGGTTCATGAGGGCGCCCCTCTCAACCATCCCTCTCGAGAAAACGCTGCAAAATGCGGATTGCGGCAAGATCTGGGCAGTGCGCGGGTGCCCCGAGAACACTCTGCACTGGCTGTGGGCCGGGACGGCAAGGGTGCCCTCCGATCATCCGCTCTGCACAGGCCGAGCACAGTCAGAACACCATAGAACATGCACTCTGCGGCAGATGGCCCAGCGCGGGCGCCGCGGGAGCACTTTGCATTGGTTTTGACAGGGACGGCGGCGGTGCCCTCGAAGTGTGCGGTCTGCGCAGACCCACCACGCCTGTCAATGTACAATGCAAAGCGTACTGTGTGGCACAAGCTGTCTTGTGCGCGGGCGCCACGCGATCCTTGAGAAGTGGATTTGGCAGAGGGGGCGACGGAGGGGTGTCCTCATATTGGCTGGTCTGTGCAGGCTCACGATCCCTGACAAAAACCTGTACGACGAAGTGCACTTTGCGGTAAAATCTGGGTCATGTGCGAGGGCCTCGCGATCACTTTGCATTAGTTTGTGACAGGGACGACGGGGGTGCACTAAATGGGATCGGGCCCCCAGGATGCTGCCTATGTATGGGGAGGACAGGTGGGAATGAGCGACACGGCTTGTGGCCTGGTGTCGCTTGATCACTGTTCCCTGTTAATTAACACCCCCTCCCCCAACCGACCAGCAGCCAACCCGGGCCTATGACCTCCTCCTCTAAATCTAAAGCACGCACAGCATGCACGGGCGCCCCGCGACTATGTTCCATTGGTTTTGGTCAGGGGCGGCGGGGGTGCTGGCATATTACCATTCTGTGCTATGCCAACCCCCCCTGCATGACCTGTCCAAAAACAACGTACAGTACAATGTGCAACAAAGTTTAGAGTCATGCTCGAGAGCCCCGCGAGCTTGATGCATGGGTTTGACAGGGTCGGCGGGGAAGGTGGCACGTTGCATGTTCTGTGTCATCATGATGGCCACTCCGCCGCGATTCTTCATTGGTTTTCGATGAGGATGGTAGAGGTCGGAATGATTCCCGATGCGCGCGGACGCACCTGGCACTCTTGGCGCACCAGGCACACCTAGCACGCTTGGGCCTCAGGGGCGCCTGGCGCGCCTACTACGAGTGGCAAAGCCTGGCGCGCGTGGCGCGCCTGGCACGCGTGGCGCACCTCGCCCCAGCAGCGCGCACCAGGGGTCCGGTTTGTTTCCCAGTAGCTGTCCGTCCAAAGACGACAGCTGAATATGCTGAGACTCGGCACCACTGATGTGTTGGGAGGGCGGGTGGGAGTGAGCCGAACAGTGTGCGTCTGGGAGAGGTGCCTTGAGCCCTGCCCCTCCCCCCTCCCTTGAGGTGTTAAAGCGTCCAAGATGGCCCACGATGGCTCCAAGAGGGCCTCAGAAAGCCAAACATGACATTCAAGGTAGCGCCAGATGACTCAAGACGGCTCCCAACATACTCCAAGAGACTCCAAGACCGCCCCAAGGAGGGTCAAAGACGGCTCGGGGCCTTTCTAGAAGGCCCCCCAGGATGCCACAAACCTTCAATATGATAAGGAAATCACTGACTTTAGCCTTCTCGCCCTTTCGCTTCCGATGGCCTTCCGAGGCCTCAAGATGGCACCAGGAGGCCCAAGAGAGACCGCAGAGAGGCCCAAGAAGGCCCCGAGACGGCCCCAACAAGGCCCAACAGCCCCCCAAGAGGGCCCAAAGAGGCTTCGTTGGAGCGGCGATGACAATTCAGATTTGTCTGTGATCGATATCTCCCTAGATGGCCCCGAGGCCCCTAAGAGGGCCTCAAGAAGGCCCCAAGGGAGCCCCAAAGGATCCAGAACTGGCTCCAATAGAGCCTCAAGAGCCACCACGAGAGCCCCAAGAGCGTCCCGGAGAGGGATCCAAGAGGAGACTTCTCGAGCCAAAGAGAGGCAACCTAACCCGCGCCGCTCACTCTTCATCCCGCCGTCCCCACCACGTCATCATTATCTGCAGCATCATCATCATCATCATCATCATCATCATCATCAGCATCATCATAATCATCATCATCTTCATCAGCATCATCATAATCATAATCATCATCATCAAGATCATCATCATCATGATGATCATCATCCTCATCATCACCAGCATCAGCATCATCAGCATCATCAGCATCATCATTACGATCATCACCATCACCATAAGCATTATCGTCATCGTTATCATCATCTTCATCTGTATCATCAATATTATCATCATATTCATCACCACCAACACCATCATCATCATCAGCATCATCATCATCGTCATCATCCGCCACAGCATCATCTCCACCATCACCATCAACATCAGCAGCATCGTCATCATCATCCTCGTCTCATCACCATGATCATCATAATCGTTGTCGTCGTCGTCGACGCCATCATCAGCACAATCGGTATCGTCATCAGCATCAGCATTATCCTCCCCTCCGCGTCAGCATCGTCGTCATCAGGATCAGCACCAGCATCAGCATCAACAGCAACAGCATCATCATCAACATCGTCATCAGCATCAGCATCATCATCGTCATTGTGTTCGACATCGGCATAATCATCGTCATCATAAGCATCATCATCACCAGCATCGTCATCCTCATCCTGATCCTCGTCATTATCATCAGCATCAGCATCAGCGTCATAATCCTCATCAGCATCACCATAACAAGCATCATCCACATCGTGGTCATCAACACCACCACCACCACCATCAACATCATCATCATCATCATCATCATCATCATCATCATCATCATCATCACCATCATCATCGACAGTAGCGCCGGCACCGGCATCAGCATCATGAGTATCATCGGCAACATCATCAGCAACATAATCGTCAGCATCAGCATCATCATCAGCAGCATCATGCATCATGATCACCATCATCATCACCATCACAATCATCATATCCATCCTGTTCCTGGCCATTCTCCCATCTGGGGGTCAATCCTCTTGTGATCGCCTTCGTCCTCCTCCTCCTCCTCGTACTCCCAAATCTGTCCTCCTTCCCCTTTTCCTGCTCTTCCCTCCCACCCCATCCTTGTACTCCGCCCTTCCTCATGGTTCTGCTCACGCTGATTCAACACTGCGATGTGACTGGCTTCCCCAGCTCGCTGCTCCACTGCATGCTCCTGCACTCCTCTTTTCGCCCGGGCATAGGCTTCGGATGGGCTGATGGGTAAGTTACGCGACCGTCAAGAATTGGCCATCAGGTGGGAGCGTGTTCATGGCTGAAAACCTCAGTAATGACAGGCCTGACCGACCACCGTGCAGAGCCATACGGATCCATGGCGAAGGAGGCAAGGACAAACGAAGCGTCAGGCGCGCAGCCAGGCGGGAGGGAGGCGGGGACGACGAGAAACTGGACGATTTGCAAACAACTGCGGCAACATCACCAGGGGCCTGGCAAACGAGCGGCGGTGAAGCAATAGGTGCTCCTGCTCTTCGTCGTTCTTCCTCCTCCCTCCCCCTCCGCCTCCTCCTCCAACTTCTCCAATCTACCTCCTTCTGCACATGTCTCCCCATTATACGTCTCGTGCTCTTTCTCGTCCGGCTGCTGCTGCTTCAAACATCCTCTCTCCTTCCTGTGATGTTCTTGCGCATATCTGGCGCAAGCCCCATATTATGACCATCGTAGCCGCGCCGTCGAAGTAACTGCCATTAAAATCGGCGCAGCCCTCGACCAGATGCAGCCAGCCATCGTCTGGCAGAGTAAGAAGATGGAGGAGAGAGGACGCCATGAGATAATGGAAAACTGAATGAGGACGGAGGCAGAGGAGGACCTGGGCGTCGTGTCCTCCTCAAATCGTCCTCGTTACACGGACGCTGGCAGAAGCGATCGCCGAAACTGACTGCTCATGCTGAAAGAAAAAAGAAAGGCACGCGCGTACACACAAGACAAGTGCGAGGAGCGTCTACACACCAAGCAATAGAAGGGCAAACAGAGGCGGGAACATGGAGAGGCCCGCAACGACGTGGAGGTGGGCACTCCTCCTCCTCCTCCTTCTCCTCCTCCTCCTCCTCCCTCCTCCTCCCTCCTCCTCACATCATCTCAGGCTTCTATCCCTCGCATATTCCTGCGAAGAGCCGTGCTTGGCGCACGACCAGGGCCCATGTGAAGATGCTCCACCTTCTCCCCTTCCTCGTCCTCCTCGTGCTCCCACTCCCCCACCTCACTCGTCGCCGTACAAATTTTCATTTCGTGTTATCCTCCTCCGTCAGCTCGTCTTCTTCCTCTCACTCCTTGTCCCTCGCCCCCCCTTCCTCCCCCACGATCCTCCTCTTGCATCCCAACCTTCATGACGCTAAGAAGTTACCCTTCGCCCTCTACGTGGACGCCCAGGTGGTGGTCGCCCTTTTCGCTGCGATCGGGCGTCCACGAACGTATTTGCGCCGCGTCCATGCCCTGTTGATCTGCATCCACAAAGTGGCACTCAGCTTAACGATGGTGACGAGCATCCCACCAAGGACTGCGAACCTTCGCAGGGTGCCCATGTTCTTCGAGCCTTCGGTGGCAAACGTCCTCCTACATACCCTCTGACAACTGCGTTAGCAGTTCTGGAGTGTCCTGGATACCACAGGTTGGCTGCAACGCCGTGGGAACACGAACACACGGTGCGCTGAACGCATGCCCGTCTTGAGAAGAGCAAGACATACCGATACCGCTGCCACTGCCCCTCGTTTTCGCCTCTTGGAGCCTCCCGGGAAGCTCCCGTCGCCACGGCTGGGTTCGCCTCGAAATCCTGGCGCCAGAGCGCACCCTCGAACAGGCCTGGGGAGTAGCGGCAGCGGTCATTTTTGGTGCCCCCACGCCCCTCCTACGACGCGGCCGACGCGGCGCACCTGAGGTCTCCCTGCCCGTCGAGCCCGCGAGCGCACTCGCCAGCTCGACAGCGCCCCTGACGCTGCCGCTCGGCGCCCTCTGCACCCGCAAGACGTGGGCCCGCCGCTGTGCTCGCTCGCGCGTCGGCCTGCGCGACCTGGGCGCGTGCCTCCGCCCCAGCCACTTCGACCGCGCATGAGCGTCCGCCAACGCCGCGATTGGAAGCGTCTCCCCCGTCCCGTGCTGCCCCCTCGATCGGTCCCCGCCGACGGCCTCGGGCCCTCGGCACGTGCTCAGTCTTTCATGGCCTGTCGGCCGGCCCCTTGGGCGTCAGTTGCCTTTGCTCCTGACCTCCCCTCTCCTCTGCTCGTCGCGAACTGCAGCTCCTTGAACGCAGCCAACGCTTTGTCCTTGATCCTCCCTCCCTCGCCTTCCCCCATGCCCCCTCCCCCTCCCCCTCTTCCTCCTCCTCCTCCTCCTCCTCCTCCTCCTCCACCTCCTCCCCCTCCTTGCCCTCCTCCTCCTCCTCCTCCTCCTCCTCCTCCTCCTCCTCCTCCCCTGTGCTCCACCGCCCCCCTCCCCCTCAGGCGCTGCGCAGGCGAAGGGGAGGAGGGAGGGGGAGGACCCGTGCGAGCGGAAAATCTGACTCGGGCGAGCTGGCCCGACGGTGCTTCACGGTGCATCGGCAGCTGAAGCCGAAGCCAGAGCTGAAGTGCACAGAGAAATCGAAAGGGCCCACCCTGAAGGATTGGTCGACAGCACATCGCTGAGCGGTGCTGCAGCCTCCCCTTAGCACAGGCACCCCCCAGAACATCAGCCAGACAAGTCGGGTCTGCACCCTCATGCCTTGCTGGGCTCTGGGCGCGTTTCTGCACTGCCACTGCGAACGTCACCCACTCGTCAAGGCCACCGACTTGAACCGCGACCCACCCGAGACCCGCCCGCGACCCAACCGCGACCCAACCGCAACCCAGCCGCGACCCATCCCGCGACCATCCCACGACCCGCCAACGACCCACCCGCGACTCGCGGCCCAACCGCGACCCGCCAGCGACCCACGTGCGACCCACCGCGACCCACCCGCGTGTCGCCCGCGACCCACCCGCGACCCAACCCGCGCCTGCCCCCCACTCTTCTCCGCAACTACGGGGTGCTATATCATTACTTCTAGCCGCCCTCAAGAGGGGCCAAAGACCTCCAAGAGGACCCCAGACAGCCCAGCATGCCTCCATGATGGTCCAAATATTGCCCCAATGGCTCCCGGCTGGCATCCACGACGGCCCCAATTTAGCTCCAACACTGCCCAAGCCCACTCCAAGACGGCCCCATGACTGCCCTGCGCAGCCCCAAGACCCACACAACGATACCAAGACCCCGAAGCGAAACAAACATGTGTGTTGCATCTCCGGGGGACCTTGCCTGTGCCGTCGAGCAACGATCCGCGTCGAATCCGTGTTGAATCCGCGTCGAGTCCAAGTCGAAACCGTGTCAAGTCCACAACGAATCCGCGCCAAACCCACGTCGGAGTTCAAGAAAGGACTGCCATGTACAGGACAGGAAAGAACCCCCGCTGATGCAAACCAACAACATGGCCCCAAGACGCCCCAAGCGAGCCCCAAAAGATCTCAGATGCCCCGCCGGCGATGTGATGCCACAGTCGCGATGGACCACACGTAAGGAACGCGTAAACCATGAGTGCACCCCGCGTTGAAAGCCTCATGACGCACATACTGAATGGAAGATGGCGCGTAACAGGGGATGTTTCCACCCAGCTCCCAGGCTTTGGGATGTTTTCGACTGGACCCAAAATTTTGGGCCCAGCCCTGGGATGCATGATGGGGGGCGTCCATCCTCGATAGGGGTGCGTCCGAATAGTCCCATTGGAGTATATCCCAAGGTCTCCCCCCCAATCTGAGCGGCCAAACTTTTCGGGCGGAACTCTGGGTTTGGAAAGGAAACATCGCCTGCGAGTGTGCTAGTCCCCCATTGGAGGCCCTCTGTGATTTTCCGCATTGTGGACTCACTACTTAGTGTCTCCGTTCATTCCTGACGCAAAAATGAAATAAGCCGCCGATCACATTGACTTCCATCGTTTCCAGGGGCAAACTTTGGACGCTGTCCAATAGCAAATGTGTCCAACACCAACGGAGGCCGCTGTTGGACAGGCGACATCTTGTCTGACGTGGACACCGTCCGCGGTGACACCGACAGCAAGTCCTGATCGAATGGACAGGGACTGCTGTCGGTCTCAGTACCATTATTCTCGTACCCGTTTCAATCCTGCCTGTCGTCTCCCAAAAACGTCCAGAAAGTACCCTCTGCCCTCCCGGCGTCCTTGCTCGCACGGCGGCACACCGAAGGAGCACAGCGCCTCTAGCACGCAACTCTCGCTGCCCGGCTCCGCCAGGCTGAGCATGACCCCATACGAGGGCATCCTCGAGCAACCGCGCGAGGAGGGGATGGGAGGCGGAGGAAGGAGGGTTTGGGGAAGGAGGCAGCAAGGGATGAAGTACGTAGGCGGGGGACAGAGCGTGAATCTTCGAAGTTCGAGGTCTACGGGCGCCTTCGCTTGCCGTCGGAGCCTTTCCAGACTCGGGACGCCTCTTCCAGCGGCTGCGCCTCGCCGGGAGCTCTGCGGGTGAAGCCCGGATCGTCCTTGACCCGAAAGTCTCCAGTGGACCGAGGATGATCAACGCTTCTGGCCCCTTCTGGGCCTCCTCCTCCCTCCTCCTCCCTCCTCCTCCCTCCTCCCTCCTCCTCCCTCCTCCCTCCTCCTCCCTCCTCCTCCGAGGCCCCCTGGGATTCTGGGAAGCCCAGAGGGGCTGCGGAGGCTCACGGAAGCACGCCACGGGCACCACCGGATGTGCTTGGAGGGGGGAGGGGGGGAGGGAAAAGGTGGAAAGATGAACGATGGACGAGGGGGGCGGAAAGAAGGAGAAGGGTGGACGAGGCGGTGAAGGGGCGGATGGGAATGGAGGGGGGGGAAGGTGGAAAGATGAACGATGGACGAGGGGGGGCGAAAAGAAGGGAAAGGAAGGGTGAAGGTCGAAGGAGGGAAGGATGGGAATGGAGGAGCGGTGAAGGGACGGAGGGAACAGGGAGGGCAACGGAGGAGTGAGGCGGGAAGGGCAACGTAAGTATCGTGATCATCGCGCACGTGTGGACGAACGGAGAAATAAAACGATGACACGCAGGGAAACAAAAACGGGTACGTCTTTGCGTGGAGTGAGAACACACGGGCAAAACATGTGGCATCGCGGGGGGGGGGGGGGGCATGGAACCGCACCGCTGGCAACTGGCAACTACGCGCTGGCGTGTGCAATTCCACGTTCGGGCAAAACGAAGGGGAGGAATAGTAGAAGGCAGATTTGGGCACTAGCTAGCACATGATACGTGGGTTGGCAACTTCGTGGCAAATGGGGGCATTCGAGCGGCATCACCCTGGTTCCGAGCGCACGCCGTCGCTCAAGTTCGCATGCCCAAAGAAAAAAACGTCGGCGAGACTGCCTGCACAGGGCTATTCGCGCGGCAGACTAGTTGCATGCAGCTAGCTTGGCTGGGAACTAACTACATGCGGCCCGTTCCGCGCTAAACGAGCTGCACGCAGCTACTCCAGCGCGAAATGGCTGCATCAAACCAGTTTGACTCGACGCCGGCACCGCCCTGGCAAAACAGCTGCGCATTGAACGGAAACTTCGAGCCAGCTCACTTAGCTGATTTCCTCCGGTGGTTTGCTGCACCCCCCCCCCGGGCGCCGGCCAACCCCAGCTTGGTGTAGCGAGTCGCCCATCTCTGCACCGAGCACGCGCGCGATGCGCGCGCATACCCAAGACATCCCGAATGGGACGAGGGGGGGAAAGATGGGATTTGGGAGGAGGGCGGAGGCGGGGAATGGTGACAGAGACGGCGGGATGAAGGTAGAAATTTGCCCGTAGGAGGAGGAAATCGCACTCGCCCTGGGCGGACCAGCGGGACCACCTGCACACAACAATGTTCGACCCCCCCTTCCCTGTCCGCCTTTTTCCCTCGACCCGACACGCGTGAGCGCGAGCGTGAAAGTGCATGCGCCACCCTGTATATTTGTTACCGAAGGGCGTACCCTGACCCCTAAGCGAACGTGAGTGCCAACTGGCCCAAACAAACCGATTGGGCATGTCAATGACCACGGGGCCCTGCGGGAATCACATCGGGTCTTCTTCGCTGTCCACCCACCTAGGACCTAAAATATGTGACGAGGCGGCACGGAACGCGAGGTCGCGGAGGAGAATCGCATGACCGAACTAACGACGGCATCAGCGAGGTGGCAGGGCGCTGACGAGGAGCATGGCGACGCGGGGCGACCAAAAAAAAACCTCGCGGGGCACGGGGGGGAGGGGCACTGCACCCAGACATCCGACGTCTCGATCTTTTCGAGACGCGGGCCCCCGACCTCCCGACCACTTCCCTGGGACCGGTTTTTCATCCCGAGTCGTTTCTTGACGGTCCCGAGGCCCGGCGAGGGCCCCGAGAGGCCCAAAACTGTGAAAAACCTGTCTCGATTTTTTCGAGACGCCCGATGTCTGGGCACGGCGTGGGAGGCGAGGAAAGGCGACGTGCTGGGGCAGCGTTGCCGCTGCGGCTGCGACCCCGCGCCGACGCTGTCTGCCCCCGCCGCGGCCCCCGACCCTGCGCTGCCCACTGCGGGGGGGGTGCGTGTGCCGAGCCGGGCGCCCACTCGCAGGAGCGGGACGCACCGGCGGGCTGGCAAACGTTGTGGTGGCTAACTATGAAGGGGAACTGGGACACACAAATAAAGACACCCAGATCACAGGATTCCCCACATATTTTTTCATATGTTCTGGGTTTTTGTCTCCCCCCCCCACTTCCCACATCTTCCCATATCTTCCGGGAATCGCCGATTCATTGTGTCTGTGTGTTTTCCCCCCTCCTGAAGCTAATTCAAACAATCGTGTACGACCGTGCCTCGGCCGAGCTCGCGCGTCGACACCCCTGCCTCTTTCCAAACATGCTTCTGCGCGGGCGGCCCTCGACCATCAAACTCCGAGAGCGGGCTCTTCTGGGAGTCCCCTCGGGGGGACAATTTCACAACAAAAGAAATCTTGTATATACCGCCACGAAGGGAATCTCTTTGTACTCCCGTACAGAAGGAATTCCTATGTATTCCGCTACAAAATAAATCCCTTTGTATTCCGCAACAAAGGGAATCCTTTTGTATTCCGCCACAAAGGAAATCCTTTTGTATTTCGCCACGAAAGGGATTCCTTTGTATTCCGCTACAATGGGAATCCCTTTGTATCCCGCTACAGAAGGAATCCTTTTGTACTCCGCCACAAAGGGAATCCTTTTGCATCCCGCCACAAAGGGAATCCTTTTGTATTCCGCCACAAAGGAAATCCTTTTGTATTCCGCCACAAAAGGAATCCCTTTGTATTCCGCCATAAAAGGGAATCTCTTTGTATTCCGCCACAAAGGAATTCTTTCTTGTATTCCGCTACAAAAGCAATCCCTGTGTATTCCGCCACAAAGGGAATCCCTTTGTAGTCCGCCACAAAAGGAATCCTTTTGTATTCCGCCACAAAGGGAATCCCTTTGTATTCCGCCACAAAGGGAATCAGGTCGCATTCTTTCCACAAAAGAGAAGCAGTTTGTATCACGGTAATTAAAACAATTAGAAATGCTTCTAATTCAGCGGCCAGGGGACCAGAGGTTGACTGGTTTTTTAAATTTTCAAATGTTTTATGATTTTGAATTTTTTAAATAGAAAAACAAGGTTTCGCTTGAAACTCCCGCCAAACTTTTTAAATCCAGCGGGCGTCGCTGGCGTGAAATTCCGAGGGAGTCTCAAGCGAAACTTGTTTTTTTGAAGAAAATAATAGCAAAATCGATGAAAAAACAGGTTTCGCTTGAGACTCCCTCGGAATTTCACACCAGCGACGCCCACTGGATTTAAAAAGTTTGGAGGGAGTCTCAAGCGAAACCTTGTTTTTCTATTTAAAAAACTGAAAGATTTTTTTTTTTTTTTTTTTAAAAAAAAAAAAAAAAAAAAAAAAAAAAAAACTCTGGTGTCCTGGCCGTTCAGTACAAGGCAATTCTAAAGGAATGAAAGGTCGGCAGTTTTTTTTTTTTTTTTTTTTTTTTTTTTTTTTTTTTAAAAAAAAAAAAAAAAAAAAAAAAAAAAAAAAAAAAAAAAAAAAAAAAAAAAAAAAAAAAAAAAAAAAAAAAAAAAAAAAAAAAAAAAAAAATCGAAAAACAAGGTTTCGCCGGTGGGAAACCATCGGCAGCCGAATCGGGGGCTTGGGGAAACCACCCTGGTCTCCGGGCCGGCGGTGGGAAACCATCGGCGGCCGAATCGGGCGCTGGGGGAACGCATGCGGAGTTCACGATTGCTAACGCTTACCGCTGCCCACGAGGGCTTCTTGAGGTTGTGAAAAGGGGGAAATTATGTGCATGTTTCGCGAATTCCCGAAAGTCCAGTGCAACGAAAAATGAGAGTTCCAGATGCTTGTCGGGGATCGCAGTTTTGGCGCGCACTCATTTCGGTAGAACGTGCACATGTTTTGCGATTGCTAACGCTTACCGCTGCCCACGAGGGCTTCTTGAGGTTGCGAGAAGGGGGAATTAGGTGCATTTTTTGTAATTTTTGGGGGGGCCGGAGCACACAAACATAGGGTCCCTGGGTCGTTTGGCGCAGAACATCGTTGTTGCATGTGTACATGTCAATACCACGTTCAGCATTTTTCGAGGGCATGTGTTTCCTAAGATTCAAGAAGGTCGATTTGTGGGTGCCTTTCGGGTGTCTTTCGGGTGCTTTGACAACGACATCCTTGAGCCGCTTGAAGCAAATCATTGTTTTCGTAGTGGCACGCTTCAATAGCACATGCAGCACTTTTCGACAATATATGTTTCCTTCAACTTCGGTGTGGGCGATTTGCAGGTGCCTTTCGGGTGCTCTGCGGGTGCCTTAGGGGTGCCTTTCGGGTGCTTTGCAGGTGCCTTGGGGGTGCCTTTCGGGTGCTTTGCAGGTGCCTTGGGGGTGCCTTTCGTGTGCGTTTGATCTCTTTTGCCCCTTTGTTATATTTTGTCCCTTTTGTACCTGTCCCATTGTGTCCCCTTTGTCCTCTGTTGTCCCCTTTGTCCCCTGTTGTCCCTTTTGTCTCTTTTGTCCCCTTTTTGGCTTCCTGATTCCCCTTGTCATCTTTTATCGCGCTTGTTCCTTTTGTGCTCTTTTGTCCCCTTTGTCCCTTTTTGTCCCCTTTGTCCCCTGTTGTCCCCTGTGCCCCTTTTGCCCCATTGTGTTCCCGTTGTCCCCTTTTGTTCCTCTTGTCCCTTTTGCCCCCTTTTGTCCCCTTTGGTCCCCTTTGTCCCTTTTTGTCCCCTGTGTCCCTTTTTGTTTCCTTTGTTCCCTTTTGTCCCCTTTTGTCCCTTGTTTGTCCCCTTTGCCCTTTTTGTCCTCTTTGTCCCATCTTTTCCCTTTTGTCCCCTTTTGTCCCCTTTGTCCCTTTTTGTCCCCTTTGTCCCCTTTTGTCCTCTTTGTCCCCTTTTGTCCCCTTTGTCCCTTTGTTGTCCCCTTTGCCCTTTTTTTCCTCTTTGTCCCGTCTTGTCCCTTTTGTCCCCTTTTGTTCCCTTTTGTCCCCTTTTGTCATCTTTTGTCCCCTTTGTCCCTTTTTGTCCCCTTTGTCTCTTTTTGTCCCCTTTTGTCCCCTTTTGCCCCATTGTGTCCCCGTTGTCCCCTTTTGTTCCTCTTGTCCCTTTTGTCTCCTTTTGTCCCCTTTTGTCCCCTTTGTTTCTTTTTGTCCCCTTTGTCACCTTTGTCCCCTGTGTCCCTTTTGCCCCATTGTATCCCCGTTGTCCCCTTTTGTTCCTCTTGTCCCTTTTGTCCCCTTTTGTCCCCTTTGTCCCCTGTGTCCCTTCTGTCCCCTTTGCCCCTCGGGATGATTATTGGAGGTCCTCCAGGGCGCAAGGAATCAAAAAAGGGAAGCACCAGGGAGACACCAGGGAGACACTAGGAATACATCGTCAGTGCAGCGCCCTCCGAGGCCCAGGAGGAGCACCAGAAAGAGCAGGAGGAGGAGCAGGAATATCAGTTGGAGGGGGAGGGTGAAGATGGGAGAGAGAAGGACGAGGCGGACTTTTGTTTTGTCCCGTTTGCCCCTCAGGATGCTTATTGGATATCATCCAGGGCCGGGGGAAACAATAAAAATGGAAGACACGAGGGAGACACCAGGGAGACACCAGGATTACATCGTGAACTCAGCGTCCTCCGAGGCGCAGGAGGAGCACCAGACGGAGCAGGAGGAGGAGCAGGAGGACCAGTAGGAGGGGGGAGGAGGAGGATGGGAGAGAGAATGACGAGGCGGAGGAAGGGGAGACGCAGCGTCCTCCGAGCGCCCTGGGGGGCTCTTTCCACGTGTCGTGCGGGTTGCCGTTCAAGTGCCCTCGGGGTGCCCATCGGGTGCCTTTCGGATGCCTTCGGGTGCCTTCGAGTGCCCTCGGCGGGGTGCCCATCGGGTGCCTTCGGGTGCCTTCGAGTGCCCTCGGGGTGCCCATCGGGTGCCTTCGAGTGCCTTTCCACGTGTCGTGCGGGTGCCTTCGAGTGCCCTCGGGGTGCCCATCGGGTGCCCATCGGGTGCCTTTCGGGTGCCTTCGGGGTGTTTATCGGGTGCCCTCGGGGTACTCATCGGGTGCCCTCGGGGTGCCCACGAGGACAGTTAACAAACAGCTCAGGGCACTCGGAGGACGTGGAACGCACGATATCTCTGGGTGTCCTTGGTGCCTCCCTGGTGACCCCCTCGCGCGTATTTTTTATTGTTGTTTATGCCCTGGAAAACCTCCCGTAAGCACCCCGAGAACACCCGAAAGGCACCCGAAACGCACCCGAAAAGATCGTAGTGTGTCTTGGGCAGCTTCCCCTTTATCACCGTTGCGAACATATGTGTTCGAAGTTGCGTTCGCAAGTTCCTTGGATTTCCGCAACGTAGTTCCACTGTTTGGGTATACGCTTAGTTCTGGATGAAAATACAATTCAGAACAAACACGACAAAGCCTGCATACGTACACATATTCAGAAACACCACCTGGCCAACATAGCGTGTTCAATTCTAGTCTCTGGGTTGGCCCTCCCCGTCCGATTGGGCCGCTGCTGATGCTGCTTATGCCCTTAACTGTGTTGCTGCGGATGGTGCTGCTGTTGCTGGTCCTGGTGCTGCTCTTGCTGGTGGTGGTGCTGTTGCTAGTGCTGCTCGCGCTCCCGACGTTGCTCGTGCCTCCGTCGCTCGTGCCTCGTATGTCGGGGGCGTTGACAAGGATGACTCTTTGGCCTTGAGACAGTAAACACACATCTTGAGAACCGCCAGTAGCACGCCATTGGGTCGCAGCATGCACGTCCGCAGGGATCGTTTTCGTCGTCGCTTCCGCTCCCTGGGGTTCTCGAGCCACCGCGAAGTCTTTCAAGGGTCCGCAGGGGCCGTTTTGGTCGTCGCCGCCGCTCCCTTGAGGTGCTCGAGGCAGTTGATGATGATGGTGATGATGATGATGGCGACGGGGGTGATGATGGTGATGATGATGATGATAACGATGACGATGATGAGGATGATGAGGATGATGATGAGGACGATGGGGGTAAGTAGGATGAGAAGGAAGCGGAGGGGCAGAAAGATGATAAGGACGATGATGACGATGATGATGATGATGATGATGATGAGGCTGGACCTCAGATTCCTAGTGTGTAGTAATGGAGCGGACTGTTTCGGAGGAAGTTCATTTCCATGGTCGCAAGTATTCGCATCCGTCATCATCAGACATTACATTAGGATTCCGCGGCTATTGAGGCTCATAGGAAGACCCGCTGTCTCTGTACGCAACGCCCACTGCCTCCATCGCCGCCTCATCGCGATGGCCAGTTTTGCCGCGATCTCCCAGATCGAGGCTTCCGAGCCCACGCACCTGGAGAAGAGCTGGAAACACCTCCTTGTGTTACCGCGGCGCGCCGCAGACGACATGGACCTATCGAAGGCCGCCGCGCGTGCGCAGTACCCGCTGCGCCCGCTGCCGCGCGGCTTCGCCAAGGGCGACGTCGTGTACTGGGCGATTCGAGACGGCTTCTTCGGGCAGCGCCGATCTCGGGCCCCGCGCGATGCGCCGTCGGCGATCTCCGACGCTCGAGCGACGAGATCTCGGTCGCGCGATCTCGATGGCCCCTGCCGGCTCGCGATCGAGAGAACGACCGATGCGATCGGCAGAGCGAGCAAGAGCGCAATCTGGTCAGGGTCTCGGCGGCTTATCGATCAAGCGATCGGTCACGCACTCAGGCGCGGCAAGGCTCTCACGGGTTACCCCCAACCCCGCTCCCGCCAGAAAGCTCGTTTCTGTGTTTTTGTTCGCTGCAACAGAAAAGCGGAATTGTTATGGTTTATATATGTTATAGAATTCGTTTTCGCATGGCAATTGTAATGGCGGCGGATGCGGGTTTGCCGGGTAACCGAGTAGGTGGTCTCGAGCAGCTACCACTTTGACGACATCGGCGTGCGGGTCCAGTTCAAGGGCCTCACGCATCCCTGTCTGTGCAGCGCGTTGACGACCGCGAACCCGAAGGAGAACAAGCGGGAGCGACGGAGGAATGGTGGTCTGCCTCGCTCAAACGAGGATGTCTCGCTCCCACCGCCAACTGGGGCGGGCGGCGCCGAGCCCATCGGCCGCTCGCAGAGTGGCGGCGACACGCCTCCCTCGGAGTCATCCGGCACATCGGATACAGGGCCGTGCACTTCGTCGACGCCGCAGCCATACCCAGGGCGCGGCCGCTGCTACATGGAGGACCAGCAGCACACCAGGTGGAAGCGTTCGCGGCGCAACAAGAAGGCCCGCGCCAGCGCCGGAACAACAAGTCCAACTTCCCCTGCAGAAAGCCAGCTGTTCCCGCCTACGCCAGACGGCTTCGGCGATGCCGCCCCGCGCCCCATCCCCCATTCAGAGGCCGCGCGGGACTCCGTCGTGATCGGCGAGCCCGCGCCATGCGATTTCGGCGTCGCCACCCCAGGGCGCGTCTTCAATGCAGAGGACGTGCGGAGCTCCATCGCAATCGACGGCTTCTTGTCGTCGCAGTGGACGCTGTACGTGAGGCTGCGCAAGGGCGAGTATTTATCAGATATGCATTCATTCGACGAGCATGCGCGCCAGTTGGAGCGCGCCCATGGCGACCGCCGCGCTGGTTTCCTTCACGTGCTTCTCGATCAGGTGAGAGGTCCTCCAATTGAAATATACGGCTGGCAATTTGCTGCCTTGGATGATCTCCCGTCGTTCAACTCGTGCGTCAACTCCCCTGCAGGCGACGGGGCAATCACGCAGTCGTATTCCATGATGAAGGGGCGCCTCTTCGAGGAGTTATTGAGTGAAGATGAAGTCCTGGTGGCAGTCGTTCAAAGTGCTGGACGCCGACGGGCGCTGATCGCGTTCATCGACCAGGGGCTCCGCGAATCCCCGGTCGACGGTGATGCTGCTGACTCCTTCGAGCCGCACATCGGCACGCCGCTCCCCTTCGGAGGCTTCGCCATGGTCGCCCACGCGCAGGTTTTCCACGGCGGAGACAACAGTCGGCTCGAGAAGGATTGGTGGCAACAGGTGACGGCGCCGCCGGGCGAGTTCGTCTCCGCGCAACGCGCTCTATACGTTCGCGTTCGCCAGGGCCACTACACAGAGGAAGAATTTGTCAGGGCGGTTCGGCATCTCAGTCGCGAACATAGCGGGCGCGACGCGGCCCATCTGCGCAACCTCCTCTCCATGCGCCCACGGCCGAACCTAATCGTTGAAAGCGTATCCCCTGTTCTGTCTGATGCGCATGGGCAAGAGACGTCTGACCCTCTTCCTACCGGGGGCAACTCTGTGCTTCAGTTTCTCCGACGCACCGATGCTGCTGATCGTTTGGAAACCGCGGCGTTGGGGCGTCGGATCATCGTGAACACGGGTGGGAGGCGCGCCGCGCCGCAGCTCGATGCGTCTCCGGCGGCCCAGCTGCGCCTCCCCGTTGGATTCGTGTTCGAGGCGCGCGCGACCCACATCAACGCTTCTCCCTCGGCTCCGTCGGGCGCCGGGCTGTGTCTCCACGATGCGCGCGAGGAGGTGGCTGCTTTGCAGGCGCAGCAGATGGTGCGGACTTTGAGTCGTCGCGCAAGCGCAGGAGGTGTTCTTTTGGGCGGCACGCGATCATCGCAAGCGGGCTCTTCGCGCGCACCGCGGCCGATGAGCCCGTGCTCGAGATCTCTGGAGGCCAACATCACTAACAGCGAAGTTCCACCGACGCAGGTCCGTGCTAGCTTGGAGGATCTAGGCCCGGATGAAGCAGATGAAGCCGCGAGCCTCGGCGGCGCCGACGCAGCGCCCGCGAGCGGGCCGCGCCCGAAGGAGGACCCTCTGGCAATGCTGATCAAGTTTGCGTCTGTTGGCAAGGCGGGGCGAGAGCATGTGAAGGAGTCGAAAGCTCACGATAACGAGTCAATCGTGTGCGTGGCCAAGCGCTTGCTCGGGACAGCCAGGGCGCAGCTGCCTGGCGCCTCAGACGAACTTGTGCGAGTTGCTGCTGCTGCCGTCCCATGCCGCCATTGCCGCCTCGTGGACATTGGCTTGCGTGAACACTGCATGCTCCTGCACTTGTTCATCGGCGACGTCCTCATCCGCGCGCACGCCGGCGTCTTGTGCGTTTACGGGGACGGCGCTTGGCAAGCATACAACGGCGTCATTGCAGAATCCGTTCTTGCCAGATGCAGATCGCACTTACTTCATCTCGAAGGTGCCTTTCTCTTATTGTCGACATGGCCCAGGTCTGCGTCGGACGAAGACTTCCTGCAGCGACTGCGCCAGCTTTGGCAGCGGATCTCTGGGCTTGATTCGGACAAGTTTCTGTTGGCATGCAGGGCGCGAGTAGCGCTCGGGCCCGCCGCCGGCGGCGCGGGTGCAGAGTCGGGCGAAGCGAGCGCGCTGGCGGCCGACGACCCCGGCGACGGCGCGGCGGGGCCCGCGCCCGCGCCCGCGCCCGCCGGCGCCGGTGAACTCGAAGACCCTGCCGGCGGGCCCGCGCCGGCGGCCGCGGGCGCCGGCGGCGATGGCGAAGACGAGCCTGGTCCGCCAGTTGCGCCCCGCCAGCCGCAGGGCGTCTTCGTGGGCAAAACTACGCAGAAGATATCGGCGGCTCTCCAGCAGGAGCTACTGGCGAGGAAGCTGATCACATATTATTCAGAATGGTGTCATTCGCCGCGGCCAGCTTGCCCCGGCGCTGCCTTCAAAGACTCGTGCATCCTCTTCGCCGAAGACGGGTCCCTGGAGTTTGTCGAGAAAGCGCCGGAGAACGATGTCTACGTGTACATTCCACATAACCTGAAGGACCCAGTGCTCCAGACAACCGAAGACCGACTGCATAAGTTTCTCTCGCAAACGTTCTGGAAGAATGATTTTGCTTTGGAATGCCAACTTGCGGCGATGGCATTGACGCTGCAGGGGGTCAATATTGACAGGTGCTTCTGGACTGTGGGCCCTGGCGGAGTCGGCCAGTCGATCTTAACGCATCTGATCCACAACGTTTTCAGCGGGCTTCATGCTTTCTTGGACACGAACATCTATTTCTCTGACGACGAACTGCGGAAGCAAGCTGACGGGCTGATTGGCAAGCTGATCACGACAGCGCAGGAGGCGGTGGACAACTCCAGGCACGGCTTCAGGGAGGACCCGTTCAAGAAACATATTTCTGCGGACCCCATCGCCGTGAGATTACCCTGTGGCATCGTGACGCGCCTGATAGAACTGGCGGGGTGGAAGCGCTTGGAGTTGAACAGGCTCCTTCAGTTTACCTCTGCATCTGCAACCAGTCTGGACAGTATTCTACGCCGAAGCTGGTTCATCGGGCTGCGCGTGAAAATTTTGCTTCCCAACGGAATTCCAGGATAATATAGGGGGAGGGTCTCGCGTCCTACCCGCCCCGATTAGAAGATATTCGGTTCGTTGTTGTTAAATGCTATGCCCCCTTCCCCCTTCCCCTGCCCCCCCGCAGGCAAGTTGGGGTTGCCAGATTTGCCGTTGCAAAGACGCGATGTGTCGGAGTTCGCGGCGGGGATCGCTCGAAGCATTCTCATGGCTGCCGCTCATCAGAAATTCTACTGGCCATGGGGCGGCTAATGAAATACACCATACGTTTCGAATTTGTGCCTTTCGCTTCCCCCCCCTGGCCCCAGGCGTGCAAGATCTTGTCCAGATTCAAGTCCGAGGCGGAAGTCAATGCCATCCCAGATGCCGCCAGCATGGGGATCTTCGTGAAGGATCCAACCCTGCGTGCGTTCGTCAAGAGCCAGGTTGTGGCACCGGCCTTCTGGGAGTTGCTGCGGGGCTTCATGGGGTCGCACTCGCGGACAAGCGCAGAGGACCTCATCGAAGAGTATGCCACGGGCGGCGACGGCGGATTAACGAGAGATTGCGTGCAGGCTGCGACTGGGCTGTCGCCCGATAAAGCAGCCGCCGCAGCAGCCGCGGCATTCGACCCTGTCCAGGCCGCGACAGATGCCGATCGTTTGCTTGCAGTTCGAATTGCAGGGGCTGCTCTGGATCGCAACTATGAGAGCATCTCCGAGCACGACTTTGTGCACAAGTTTGGCTCTGATGTCGTGGGCGGCTCTAATGATGAGCGCAAGGCCGCGTTCGCGCGCCTCCTTGAGCGCGGCCATTTGGTCTTCGAGAAGAAGACTCATCGCGGGCATCCAGCATACGTGCCACTACTAAAGGTCAGCGGAACCATGGCAGACCTCGGCCCCGCAGATCGCGACCTCGTTGGACCAGCGCTGGTGGAAACGATTCGCTGCAAGGAGCTCACCGAATACGTCCGCAGCGCTGCCCGCGTCCACAACGCGGAGACGTTCATCAGATACCTCGGCGGAGAGGGGGCCGAGAGGCCGAAGAAGCGAGGCAGGATCGGCAGGAAAACTGCAGACGATGCAGAGAAACGCGCCGACCTGCTGCAATCCCTGCGAGCCCAAGAGTCCGCTGCAGACGCAGTGGCGAAGTACGTCGCAGCTTCGGCGGGCGCGGGGCAGGGCGGCGATGTGTCTGAGACAGCACAATTCACTACCACATATCAGATGAAGTTTGATGCGCCGTCCAGAAGGTATGTGGTTGGCTTCGGTGCCCAGAGCCTGAATTGGTCCGCTCGTCTGGCCAGGCTGGGTGACGTCGACGATTGGGACATCCAGAAATGCACGTTCACGCTGGCCCCGCAGATTGCAGCGAGAGTCGAGTTTGCGTTGGGCCAGCACCCGGCAGCGAAGTTTGAGTCTCTTCGTAGATATTCCACGGACACGGCCGCAGTATGCAAGGAGCTCGGCATGACCACAGAGGATGCTAAAAGCACGTGCGTATCTGTCTTCTGTGGCGGCAATCCGCCCGAAGCGCTCTCCGAGAATAGCTTCCTCTTGGCGTTGGGGCGCGAGGGCATTTATCTTCGCTGGCTTGCTGTCTCATTGAACCCCGAGATGCACGAGGTTTTCGTCAACGATAGTTCTCGGCGGAGCCCGGCTGCGACTACGTGGTTCTACATGTGGACTTACGTTGAAGATTGCGTCTTATCTGCCTGGGTCGATTTTATCAATACACAAGCCGTGCAGCATTTGAGTCTGCATTTCGACGGCGTCATGGTCGATCCTGGGCGGGTCGGGGATCGGGCAGCATTCAAGGCCGACTCGGAGAAGGCGATCTTGGAGGCCACGGAGTATTCCGTAGAGGTCGCCTTGAAGAACCACGCGCGTTTCCTGGACATGCTCGTCGGCGACGCGGAGACCGTGGCGCGCGACGACGCCACTATTCCGGAGGTACTGCTTGCTGCTGGCAACTGCATCAGCCTAATGATGGCCAGGCTGACGGACAACGTCGCCGCGGCGGCGACCATGGCGAACAAGCGCAACAAGGCGAACAAGGACGCTGCAGAGCGCAAGGTGCGGACGCACCAAGATTGCAGCAAACTCATGAAGCAGTTCCTGGTGCCCTCGTTAGATTTCCCGACTGGAGAGGGCAGGTATCTGATCCACACCGAGAATGGCGGCCACCCGCAGTGCGTGGCCGCGACCCTGCCCCAGGACGATGGCTGCCATGTGTTCGTGGGGGAGAAAACGTACGATCACGAGACCAAGATTTCAACCGTGCGTCGGTGCTGGTCCGCGTCTGCAGACTCCAAGTTTCTTGCTCAGTTCAAGCTGTCGGCCGCGGTGTTCCCGCCAAACACGCAGGAACAAGTGCTCCTTGATTTGAAAGCGGGCGGATCGGCTAGCGACGGCTCATGCAGCGGCGGCGCGCCCTACACCAAGGGCAAGGGTCTGCGGCAGGACATCGCCGACGAGTTCGAGACGCACTTGGCATTCTGCGTACGCGGGTGCAGGCTCTGCAAGAAGAGCGATACGACTCACGAGGCCATCGTCCATGACCTCCACACCGCGACGACAGTGACGGTCACGCCCTGGCAGTGCAATAGCAAGAAGTGCCGATTGACATACGGCCCCAACTTCGTGTGGGTCGGGGGGCGCAAGAAGAACACTGCTACTCTCGCCGACCTGGAGTGCGCCGGAGTCGTCTTCATCTCAAGTAAGCGCGGCTTCACTTTGAGATGCGTGCGGTACTGCGAGGCAATGTTGTTCAGGAACTTCGTCTCGGCCAGGGGCGCAGACTGGGCCCAGAAGGATGTCTTTGACGACGGCGACGGCAGCGGTTGGCAGGGGAAGGAATTCCCTGTCAACGCGCGTAAACTTCACAGCCATGCTATCATGCATGCGCTGGCCGCGCAGGAGCTGGAACCGCTCGACAAGCATCTTGACATCTACGTGGAGGAGGACATCAACGAGAGCGCCCTGAGAACATACGACGAGCACCTCCACCGGCGCGTCTATCCGCCCGCCAACTCCGCTTCCGTTGCTGAGCTAGTGGGCGACGGCCACGAGAAGGTGTTGGTGCGCTGCAACGGCGGCTGCGGCCTTCCAGGAGGGAAAGTGCTGAAGAGGCCTTCGGCCGCTCGGAAGTTCGCTGGGAAGGCCCTGACGAAAAAGCCCGCTGCCGCGAAGACTCGCTCCAAGCCCAAGCCTGTCGCGAAGAAGGCCGCCGTGATTAAGCGGCCCGCGGCGACCAAGGCTGGCACGAAGCGCAAAGCCCCGAGGTCTCTACACCACAACAACGGGTGGTTCATGCTTCTGACCACGAGCGGCCGCGCGGTGGCCGTGACCGAGCATTCCGCGCCAGAGGGCAACGACGTGGTCAAGTCCACAATCCTCCGGGTTCTCCCGCAGTATCCGAAGGTCAACTGCTTCATATACGACAGGGCATGCGCGGCGATGCCTTCGGCGCTCCTGGACGACCAGTTCAATCAGATTAAATACTGGGTCGTCGACAGGCTGCACGCCCAGAAGCACGTGCCCACCTGCGCGTGCAACCCGCTGTTCATCCATCGCTTGAAGCTGCGTATCAGCGGACTTAACACCCAGGTGGCAGAGCAGTGCTTCTCATGGTTTCGCGGCTACTCGCGGATCTTCAACGAGATGTCGCCCAGCCGCCACCGCTTCTTGGTCTTGTACTTCGTTGCCAAGCACAACTCAATGTTGTCTGCTGGCGACACTGATCACCTGGGGCACCCAGCGGCAGCCGCCAGTAAGATTCACAAGAAACCCAGTGGGCATTACCCGTGCGCTTAAAGCGACGGTGTTCCACGTGCGTATAGGGAGGGCGAGCATGCGCGCCGCCATCTGTAAAGGCCTGTCGCGGTTCTGGCGCGCGCAGATGCACTCCGTCAAAAGCCGCCCAAAAATCAATGCAAGTGACGGTTCAAAGCTGCGCTTCATCTCTCTACGTCTATGTCTGTCCATATGTGCGTATGTATATACGAGTGCTGTACTTTGTTGCGCCATTGATTGACGTACTATTATGTACACGCGTGCGTCTTCGTGCATCTTTGCATGCGTATGTGTATATATAGTTTTTCTTGCATGTGTATATTATGCGTATGTGTGCGAGCGTAGATGTATATCTATACATGTAAATGGAACAGCAGCATCGCCAACAGGTCGGACGATATTTCGACCATATCAAATATCATCTTGATACGGCCTGTGCGGCCAAGGGGACTCCCAGAAGAGCCCGGCCTCCAAACTCCAGCCCCGGGTCGCGGATCATCAGTCTGTTGTCAGGCGTCGCGGCCCTGAGATCCATGGCGCATAGGTGCCATCAGAACCCACCCATCTCGTCAATATCCTTGTCGCCGGTGTCGGCTATGACCCTGTCCAGAATGGCTCAACCCTGGCTGGCCGTAGGCGCAAGGGCTTTGCTGTCGTGCGCGACGTGTCCGTGGTCTCGATGCTGTTCCCGTGCTCCGCGAGATTGTTTTCACGAAACACATGAAGACCCACGTGCCAAACAAAAACAAATAACGCCAGTGCATGAGACGATTGATTGCCTTCGCTCGCTCCACCTGAGCGTCATCGCAAATGTAGACGGGCATGTGCATGACCTCCCCCTCCGAATCCTTGACCAGACCTTGCCCGGGGTCCAAGTTCTCCAGCAGGCAAGTCTAAATGCCTATATGCAAGGGCAACAATTGGCCCCAACCTCATCATTGTCGCGGCCATGTCCACGGGCATCGCGATCGAGGACGCACCAACGACCTGCAAGAGATTGATCACCTGCTTGAAACTCTCGGAACCGGTACCAACCCGCACCATCAACCAACGGGCGACAATTTCAATGCAGGCAGCACCCAGCGAGGGCGAGGTCCCGTGTGGACCTGTGTAGGCCCAAGCTCTGTTGAGTTCCCGCGAGATCACGTCAATGTCCAAATTTGCGGCCCCCGGCACCATCCAAGGAAGCTGGGCCCTGTGAGGGTCGATGCGCAGACTGGCACGCCGCTGGACCCCCTACAGGATCACGAAAGTGGCCACAGTGCAGCAGTGGGCACCACCCAGGGAAGGCCAAACACTGTCGCCCGACAGTCCGCTGGACCTCCCTGGAGCTCAAGACAGCGGCCACCGCCGCGCTGTCGGAAGGACCCCCTGGTATGCGAGGGCCCGTTCGGATCCACGCAGGACGTCGCTCCGCTGGAGCCCACAAGGGCTCAGGACAACGGACAGGCTTTGAGCAGATGGCAATGACCAGGATGGAAAGGTCGGCCTCGCTTGAAGCTAGTGGCGTGTAGGATTCCTTTGCGAGGCAAGGGTGCGGGACCAGGCCGAACCACATCCAGGAGGTGGGGTCCTCAAAGTGTGGCTGGTGGACCGTGCAATATCATCATGAGCATTACGTGTCCACTTCTGCGGACGCGAGGAGGGTGAGGTAAGCAGGAGGAAGCAGACCAAAGGAAGCAATGGGTATCCCCCTCTATGGAGAGAGGCAGTGCCCAAGCCTCCCCGAGCTGACTCTGCGCCAAGAGCCTGGTGCAGGTCGGCTCCCTGCCAGGCCGAGATGCCACGTACATGCACCAAGAGCTGGCAAACAAAATGCTCTGTGGATGCCTGGCGGTGTGCACTCTGCATGTCCCAATCCTCCTCGTCATCCTCTGTCTCCTTGATCACATCGACAAACATAAGGGGGGAAACAGATGTCGGTACCGCTATGTACTCACCAAGCCTCTCTGAGTGTTCAGGCAAGGATCTCGAAGCCATAGGCAAGGGCCCCCCCCGGCCAGGATGCCCAAAAAGGCGAACATGAGGACACTGAAGGCAAACTGTCCTCACGAGGTGGGCGATGTCGACACTGCCGCTGACCCAACTCTCCAACACCAGCGGGGGCAAGTCCGAGCCTCCCGGGGCGGGGAACCGCGACAAGACGAATTGGGCACATATTATGGATAGATCCCCACCTCGGTCATGGCGGGAAAGAAACAACGACGCGGAGCAAGCAGGGAAGGGCGGAAGCGGAAAAAGAGAGGAACGCCCAGGGGAGAACTTGCACTGGGCAACAAGTGGAGCGATGGATGATCGGAAGGCGCATGCTGCAGACCAAACAACCAAAATTGCTGAATATGCTGTTGGTACTCAGCGTCGGCACAATCACCAACGACCGTCCCGACAACCCCGCGCTCGTTTATCTAGACCGTGGCTATTTGAGCAAGGACCGACCGTCCCGGCATTCCTACAGTCATACCGTGGAATGTTCTTAGAACCCAAAAATGTTCTAAGAGCAAAAACAATGTTCTTAGAACATAAGCCCGATGTGTTAAAACAAGACAATATCAGTCAGACACGTTCTAAGAACATTTCGTGGAAACCACAACAAGTTCTTAGAACTTTGTTCGGTGGCACTATAGGCGAGCCCGGACGCTTCGCCACTGCTTGAGCTATGTACGTATGCAAAACCACATGCTCCAGCCAATGACCGGCTTACCGAGTGCACGGTCTTGGCACACCGTGGCATGGAAGCACATCTGGTCTATTTGTTACTGCGCTGCACTATGAGTTCAAGCAAGAGAGCAATGAACGTGTGAGAAGCACACAGTTTACATCAGGTGCGGCCTGCAAAGAGCGCAAGGCAAGACACTCGCCGCCGCACCCCCGCTGGATATTTCTCTGAGGGGGCATCTGGGAGCCGATGGTGCGAGAACTTCTCGTGCGAACACATCCGTTTAGGATTGGCCACCGGATTCTGCGGGCGCGGATTTTGAATATCACTCCGCTCGCGAGGCGGGGGTCAGGATGACGTGAGTTTCAGAGAAGCCTCTCTCAACAACATGTAGAGTTGAAGGGGGGAAACGATGCAAAACCACGTGCATCGTGCAAAAACAAGAGAAGACGAAGAGAACATTAACACCTCAAGGGCAACAGCCCAAAGGTTCGCGCAGGCCGTCTTCGAAGGGTGCGTCTTCGGAGGGGGTCCGCTGCCAAACGATGAGGGGATGCCAAGGGGGCGAAGGGGGGGAGTATGCCCTTACCCAGCAAGACGCTGAACGCCCTCTCGACTTGACAATGGTACCCGACTGACGCAGACCCCCCGCACCTTGAGACATACCGCCTTGACAGTGTTTGACAGTCTGCGCCATATGGCCCTTATCACTGATTGCTGTGCAGTCCCCCTGTCGACGATCGGGGCCGACCGCAACCTGCCCTTTGACAGTCAAGGCGCCATTGACAGTCGGACGTCAGTCAACAGGGATGGAAGTGGCGGCTTGACGGTCGGCCCGAATGTCAAACAGCTGAGATGGCCCTCAGGGGTCCGGAGACATGGGTCACACTGGCTAAGGGACTCAACTAATAGCGGGGCCCACACCGTCCTCGCCCCCCGTCCTCGGCACACCCTCTCCATCCCGTCCTCGTCCACCACGCCCTCGTCATCGTCCATTCACTGTCAATGCCCTCTTCAACCTCCATCCTCCATCCTCCCTCCCTCCTCCGTTCATCGCCGCCGAATTCTCACTCACCCTACCATCTCCCCATTCCTTCTCTTCCTCCTCCCCCCTCCGTATCCTCAATCCCGCCCTCCTCAACCTCATCCCTCCCTCCCCCGTCACTTCCGTTCCTCATCGAATATCCGTCCACCTCCCTTCTCCTCGGGTTCCTCCTGAATCCCCTGCCCTCCCTCCCTCGTCTTTCCGCCCCCCCACGTGCCCACGGAAGACGTCCTCCGTCAGCCAAAGGTGGTCTCCAGGGGGAACCCAAAAACTGCAAACCGAAACCTCAAGACGGCAACGAAGAGGCCAGGACGGAGCCCAGAGATCCCCCCAGCGTCCAGAGACACGCCAAGACTGCCCAAAAGAGCCTGAAGACGCCCCCAGACGCCCCCGGCATGCCGTCACGCCGACACAACAAGGCCCCTTCAACACCCCCAACACTTGCACCCAGTGCCGCGAGGGCTCGGCGGCATGGCCTAAAACATTGGGCAACGTATGCACATTTTATGCGGCCGGAAAAATTTCGATGTCTGGGAACTGGTATCTCTCTCTCTCTCTCTCTTTCTCTCTCTCTTTCTCTCTCGCTCTCGCTCTCTCTCGCTCTCTCTCTCTCTCTCTCGTTCTCTCTCTCTCTCTCTCTCTCTCTCTATATATCTATATATATATGTGTGTGCTGTGTGTGTGGAAACTCGATGATCCAACACTCTGGGCGCAGGTGGCTCGCAACCATGTTGTTTCAACCGTATTCTTTTTCGGAGAACATGTAGCCCTCCCCCCCAAAAAAAACGCAACGCGTTAGTACATCAAATCTTGCCGTAGGTCGATCCAAAATTGCCCAAGATAGGCCGATATGGCCCCAATCTTGTACACTCTAGCCAAATAACCCCAGGAAGCATTTAAGAACCCCCCCGGCGATATCTTAGCACCGCATGTTTATTCGATATTCCGAGGGGCCGAATAACCGCACGATAGGTTTAGCACCCGGACACACAACAAATTCGCGGAGGCCTGGCCCCTGGGCTACAATCGAAATTCGAAATTCAAATCTGCGTGTCTCTCATGGAAGACTCAGGCTGTCGCTTGCTGCTTGGAAAATTCCTGCAGTGGTAATAGTATTAATATCCGCAAGCATATTTGATGACTCCTAACGACTTGAATGGATCCATCAGGTTTCATACAAGTTCCGTGGGTGGCGGAGAGGAGGAGGAGGAGGAGGAGGAGGAGGAGGAGGAGGAGGAGGGCTCCTGGTGCCAGGTAACGCTTCCAGGGTGCGGAAGGGTTATCGATTTGCCGGAAGGGGGGGGGTTCTTAAATGCTTCCTGGGGTTATGGCTGGGGTTATCTTCCGGCCTGCTCCCAAGACACTCCAAGACCGCAAAACAAAAACATATCGGAGTGGCCATGGAGCTTCCCCGGGCCGCCCCAGAGAGACCCAAGCGGACCCAAAGATGGCAACATCCAACTGCCAAAAAACCCAATATCGCAGAACCCGCGAAGCATTTATGGTTGACATCCTAGGTGTGTTAAGTCTGATTCCGATTGGCGGATTGACGGCTGCCCCCCTCTTTGTTCCACTGCATGCTCCCACATTTCATTTACCAATGCAACTCGGTACCCAAATACCCGGTGTCATGAACGTATCATGGTTCGGAATGTGTATACCTGAGGACCTCCTATCCGATCCCGATCCGTCCGGAACGCGCGTCCCTTCGATCTTGAACACTTCGAACTCAACAACGTCTGGGAACCCTTCATTTGTTCAAAACAGGCGTGAAGGGAGCCCCGTGGCGAGGGACGCAAGCAGGGGGGGGAGGGGCGGAGCAGGGGGGACAATCGCTGCACCGAGTTAGCTCGGTGCCTCCGGCGCGCCCGCGCACGCCGCCTGGCGGGAGCGCAGAGCCGCTCGCCACGCGCCCTCGTCGCGTCCGGCCCGCGCCGGCGGCAGCAGGAGCAGCGCGCTCACGCGCGGCAGCAAGGCGGGAGCCCAGCCCGCGCGCGGGTGAGCAGCTTGGGCGCCCCACCGTGGCGCCGCGCGGCCGCATTGTACGCAGACTGCCCAGCCAGGCCCCTGCGAGGCGGCGCGGGCCCGAAGAGCGCTTGGGCGGCCTCCGCCGCAGGCTGCGGGGGTGGATGTCGCAAGGGCCACGGGGCCCTCGGCGCCGCTGGCGGCACCGGCTGCGGCGGCCCGCTGCCGGCTGCGCGCCGGACGGTCCCCCAGCGGCGCCGCGCCGGGGGCCCGCCTGGCGCGGTGCCGTCGCTGTTGGCTTTGAGGGCCGCGAGCTTGGCAGTAAGGGGCCATTTGGCCCCAGAGGTCGGCGCGCGACCACTCCGCGGGCGCTGCCCCGCCCTGGACTGCCGCCACTCCGTTGTTCGCGTACATCGAATCTGCGATGACCTCCACCGGCCCACCAGCCAGCCCAAGCGCGCGCAAGGCAGCCGAGAGCTCGGCGCGCTGCGCGGTCTGCTCGCCATCGACAAGGCCCACGCGCTCCAGCTTGCCAGCTGGGTGCTCCGCGCGCGCCCCGAAGCCTGCCCTGGCCTGCACAGGGTCGGCCGTGTGCACGCAAGCACCGTCGGTCCACGCCCGCGTCCGTTGGCCCGCAACTCCCGCAGCAGCTGCGGCCAAGCTGGGGCAGCGCCGACAGCGGGAGCGGCCACATCGCCAAATCTGCAAGAACCGCCAAGCGTCCGCCCCACGGGAGGACTCCCGTCAGGGCCACCTCTGGCGGCAAGCAAGCCCGCGCCGCCGCGGAGGTGAGCCTGGCCGCCGCGAAGACGGCGTGCTTTGCTGAGGTCCTAGCGCGGGCAGTCCCAGATCCCAAGCGGCGCCAAGTGTCCGCGCCGCACTGCGGGCAGCCCGCTGGGCGGCTGAGGCCACACTCTCCATGACCACGCTGCCAGACAACACCGTGCGCAGCGCACCCGCGGCGTCAACGACGACCCGCCCGTGCTTCAGGACCCGCCAGGTGGCCCAGCGATTGACGCCAGCGGCCACGTGGCCGAGTGGCCCGGCGCCCCGCCAGCTCCCAGGCCTCCCTGCGAGCCCAAGCCTCCAGCAGCACCCGCCTCGACTCGTCGCCTGAATAGGCCGCGCTCCGCCGCCAGTCGCCAGCCAGGCAGCGCCTCTGGCACGCCTGCCCACGCTTCACTGTCGGCCCCCAAGTGAAGCTCGATCGGCAATGCTCCTGGCCGCCGCCGCCAACGGCCCGAAGCCGCGGCCGTGCCTGGCTGCTGTGGCCCCCGCGGCCTCCCGCCACGGAGCGGCGGGGAAGCGGCCCCGGTGCACGGCCTTGGCTGCCTGCCACAGCGACGCCAAGGTCACGACGGTCAGCCGGTCAAGCCGCCAGCTCGGGCCCAGGACGCCGAGAACGATCTCCGCGGAAGCCCGCGCCGCGGCAAGCCGCTTGCCGCGCAGCCGTGCGCAGGGAAGCGAGCTCGCTCGCAGGGGGGCGCCCGCGCACCGCCCCGCCGAGGCCGGCCGCCGTGCCGGCCGCTACCCCCAGCAAGCAGCGGTGATCAGAGGCTACCGGCAGGCGGCCGACCCTGGCAAACCGGACCGTGGCGGCGCGGACCCAGGCCGCCTCCACCAGACAGCGGTTGGCTGGGCCGGCGCTCGCCGCGACTCCCGAACCCACTTCCCTCTCAACGCTGGCGCCGCCTGCCGCTGCCAGATCCCTCGACGCGGGCCCCCCTCGCAGGGTAATTGAGCACCCACGACCCCTGCCCCGCGGCGGTCTCCGGCGAGGCCCGGGCACCACTCGCGGCCTCGAGCACGCCGCCGCCGCGGATCCAGCGGTACAGCCGGCCCCGCCCATTGGCGAGGGCGCCCCCGGACCTTCCAGAGAGCTGTTTTTTAGCACTGGAGGCCTAAAAACCTAAAAAGCTGGGCGAAACGGCCTAAAACCAAGACGTAGAATAGCTTTGGGATAGGTTTTTAGGTCGGGTGCTATTTTTTAGCCCTCTTGGAAGGTCAGGGTCCTGGACCCACTCGCGCCAGGCGCTGCGCCGCCTCGTGCTCGCGCCCCCCCCTTGCGGCCTGCCGCGCGGCCCAGCAGCGCCTGCGGAAGCGGCGATGCCTCCTGCAGATCCGCCAACCGAGGGGACCACTCGGGATGCCCGGCGCCTGCGGCCCGGAGGGCCTAGAGGGTCGACGGGCACGCGCTGGGAGGCCGCCGAGGGGCGGCCCGGAGCGTGCCGAAGGCCTCGGAGGCGACGGAGCCGCAGCGCTGCGTCGGCTGCACCGTCCGCTGCCTCCCCGTTCCCGCCCGCGTTGGGCCTGTCCCCCTACAGGCCGAGTTTGGACGAAATATAAAAAATGCACGAAGAATATACAACAAATGTCGAAAAATAAGGAAAATGCTCCCCCACATAATTTTGTTGACTATTTTTTTAGAATGTTCCTCCTGTAGAGGGACAGGCCCGACTTCCCGCCCGCTGCGGCTGCGTGCGGCGGCGCCAGAGTCGCAGGCAGGCCCCGCCGCGCAGCGGGCCCGCCATCGTGGAGCGCTTGCCGCAAGGCTGCGCCACGACCACCGCCGCCGTGGTGTCCCACGCGGCCTCCAGGGTCCAGCCGGGCGTGGCTGGGGTCTGGGAGCCCTCCAACACATTTTTTTGATTCGCGGGTCGAGAGCGCACCTCTTCCGGTCGAAGCTACGCGGGCCGCGCACAGCTTGAATTAACAAAGAGGGGGGGGGCACAAGGAGGGGCCTCACGTCAAGGCCAGGAGAGGGCAAAGCCCCAGAATCAGGCGGTGCCGAAGACGATGTGCTTGCAACGAGCCCTCCAACACACATCTAGAAATGAGTTCTGTATCCGAGATCCAGATATGAAAGTGTTTCCTTCCAGAGGGGGGAGAAGAGATCTGGAACATGAACCCTTCGCAAATGGTCATTGCAGAGCGATGGTGGATCGGAGAACGTACATCTGGAGCCTGGCATTCGATTTGGACCTTCCTGGACCACGCAACTTCCGGACCAAGATTGGCCAGACCTCAGCTCTTCAGAACCGGCGCCACGGAGACTCTGACAGGCGCACCCGAAACAGCACAGGCAAGTCCGGAAACGAAATCCGCCTCCTGGTCATGACATTACTGCTCTCCTCTCTTTATTGCCGCCCTCCATACTCGGGAGCGGCCAAGAGGGGGGTGTCCAAGAGGGGGGGGTGCAAATCATGACCGGCGGCATGTGCTCGGCCCAGCGGGGGGGCCAGGGACGTAATGAAATTCGCCGGCCCAACGGGCCAGAGGCGTGCTAAGATCTCCGGTAACTGGTTAAGAATTCTCTAGTTCGCGCGCGCGGGGCGGCCCCTAGGGGTCCCCGGACGAAAAGTACCCCGGCAAGGTCCTGAGAGAGTCCCGGGAGGAGTCCCCCAGAGCGCTCCAGGAGCGCTCCATGAGCGCACCAACAGGGCTCCGAGACGTCCCCGAGAGCCCCAAGAAAGGCCAAGAGGCCCCCAAGAGGCCCCCAAGATGGTACACGAGGGGTCCGACATGCCACAAGATCGCTCCAAGACGCCCAAGATAGCCCCCAGACGCCCCAAGAGGCCTCCAAGAGCACTCCCAAGAGGGCCCCCGGAGGCAAAATTCATTGTTTTTCCTTAGGTTTTTGAGAGATTTTGGAGCTTCCACCTTTTCGGTTCCCGACGCCCCAAGACGGCCCCAGAGGCCCCCAAGATCGCCCCAAGAGGGCCCAAGAGGCCCCCAAGAGGGCCCCAAGATGGCCCAAGAGGGCTCGAAGACGGCCCAAGAAGCCTCCAAGACGGTCCAAGAGGGCCCCAAGAACACCCCCAAAGGGGCCCCAGAGAGGGAACACGAAACAAAATTTCGCGCCCTCGGCCCTAAGAAGCCCCTACGAGGCCCCAAGAGGCCCCTAAGAGGCCCCAAGAGGCCCCCACGAGGCCCTCAGGAGGCCCCCAAGAGTCCCCCAAGCGGCCCCAGGAGGCCCCCCAAATGCCCCCCCGAGCGCCCCAGGAGTCCCCCAAACGGCCCCAGGAACCCCCAAAGCGCCGCATTGACACCAGGCCCTCGGGCAAACGGCAGACATGAGACCGTATGGGCCGGCGGAATGAGCGAAGCGATTCAATAAGAAGAGGCGCCATGAAATCAGAGGAAAAATCATGGCCCGCGCCATGAAATCCCCCCCCCTAGTCATCACCCCTCGCTCTTCCGCTCCCGATGACAAGCGCACCCGAAACAGCACGGGCAAGTCTGGATACGACATCCGCCTCCTGGCCATTACATCACTGCTCTCCTCTCGGGGATGGACAGACCCCCCTTTAGTAAAACGTGGTTTAGTGAAAACGACCTGAGGCCCAAACCTGGCGGGCGCAAGCCTGGAAAATAACGGCCACGGCGCCCTCTCGAGAACCGAAAACGGACAATTCACTAATCGACGTGTCACTGTTGGGGGTTCTGTCCACCTCCGACTCCTGGTCATTACATTACTGCTCTCCTCTCTTCATTGCCGCTTTCCGTACACGTGGTCGACACCTTCTCCCGTCCTTGCCCCGCCGGGCACGGAGGAGACCGAGACCGAGGAGATGCCGACCATGCTCGAGGCTGCAGACTCCTCGGGGAAAGCGTCTGCTGCAGGATGTTTCAAAAGAGGCCATGTCCTCCCCCTCCTCCTACCCGCCTGAGGCAAACATCGATCAACTTCAATTCCTCCTCCTGCTCCGGGACATGCTGCGTGATCAAAACGCTGCGCGCATCCGCACTGCCACCGCAATTCTCTGCATCGACCCCACTCCCGCGCAAGGGTGGTCATGCGCACCAGTGAAGCGGCACGTGCTTGTAAACATCTTCGTGTGGTGCTGCCACGCTGATGTGTGCGGACGCCTTCGCGAATAATGCGAAGCGCCGTGCACGAGACTTGCTCGCATGCGGCCCCGCTGATGCTGGCATGCAGCTAGGGGCCCCATCGGCACGCTGGTATTGACATTCATGCATTCGGGGTGGACGCCAGTGCAGCCCGACGGATGCGCAGAGCTGGAAACTGGAAGTGTGTCAGTGGTTATTGGGCCCTGATGCGTACTCCGCTCACAAGGACGTCCGAGAGCGGTTGGTGCTAAGTGTCCGAAAGTAGCTGAGGCGACAGGCCATCAAGCACGAACGAGGTTCCTGCCGCGAGGAGAAGGACTTCGTCCAGGAGGCCGGCATCCTCGAGGCAACAGCATTATGCGCCGCCTGAACTAGGCCACAGGGAACGGACGATGAGGATCGAGGCGATGAGAGTACAGGGCAGGTTTTAATACATAGGATGTTTAAAAATATTGGATTTTTGTATATGGTTAATGTAGGAATAAATGAATGCACGAACTCATCGATGTTTTTAATGCTAATTCCCTGCATTTTTAATACATGATCTGCACGCGGAGCATGTATTAAAAACGGCACTGTAAGGAAGAGGAGGGCGGATGGAAGAGGTGGCGGAAAGAGGATGGACGAGGAGGGCGGAGAAAGAGAAGCGTGCGGGCCCTTCCGGCATGAAAGGAGCCTCTCGGCGCCGCCGATCCACACTACTCCGCGAATAATTAGGAGCACGAGGACGACGAGACCGAGGAAGGAAGAGTAACACATAAGATGAAGCCAGGACGAGGAAAAAAACAGGTACGAATAATTCAAGAATGTCTGAGATCTGGCGACTCTGCGCCGCGGAACGCTCTGCGAGCTTTCCAGAACGCTCTGGAACGGATATATCATCGTCCTAGCCCTGTCCGACTACATCCGCTCAAATCCCGCGTCACCCACCCCACTCTGGAACGATCTGGCAAGGGTTTGGAGAATGGCGTTTCGGTGCCTGCCCGCACAGATGGCGCAGGGTGGACCTGGGCTCTCCTGAAGTCCCGCACGCGGGAAGAAACTCGCCGTTATCCTTAGCACCGCGCCCCCCAAAAACGGGACGATTTTAGCCGAACGACAATTTTAGCACCACGCCGAAAAGCAAAACAAAAAAACATGTCATATCCTCCCTGGCTTGTTGTCAAAATGTTGTCTTCGCCTCACCGCCGAGCGCACTCGTTCAAAGAAATTGCGCGAGTTCCACGGATTGAAGAGGCTCGCATTCAAAATGTGGCTCTCGCTATTGCGCCGCGCGCATACATGATGTTTTGCTCCTCTGCAGAGATTCACAAATTCCAAGGATTGAAAACGATTCGTTCTGAAAAAAGGAGCCTTCGCCTTAGCACCGCGCACGTTCGATATATAAATATTGCACGAACTTCGAAGATTGAGTTCGGCCGGTTTCAGAATCTTTGCGATTCCTGGTGTAATCCGTAACGAGAAAATGATTTCCATCGGCTGTCCTCGGGGGTGGTCCACCCCGCGGTACCGCCCCCGCCTCGCACAGAGCCTTATCTTAACACCGCGGAACGGCGAAAATAAATAGACCCCGTCCACGAGTAGCCGTAGTAGTGATAATGCGACAGTGGAACTAATCCATGCATGTGGCTACGTACTGGGGTAGAGGCAAGAACAAGCGGAATAGCCGAACTGGTAGCACTCGTGATCGTAGTACGGGCGGTACGAATAGCACGAGCGCGATTACTTACTAGTAGCCATAGCGATCGTAGTAGCATTGCGAAGGGCACTTTTTCAGTAGTGATATTAGGTTGCGCGGCGTAATTATCGTATTAGGTTGCGCGGCGTAATTCTCACGCCGAGGTACACATAGTGGTAGCTGGAGGCGTAATATTCTTACTTTGTGGTAGTGGTAGAACTTCGAGGCGGACTTTAACCGTCATTTGTGTTTCCCATCACCGTCGCCGCTCTACTCCCCGCGAAGCACACGGAGCACGAACGACACGTCACACGAATTGAAAGATTTCGACAAGGGGACTCGAGTCCAAAGTTTCCGCTCTCTTGCTGCCCACCGCCCTGTGGCATTTTTAACGAGAAAGTGATAATTCAGTCGGCTGCCCTCGGGGGGGCCACCCCAAAATACCGCTCCCGCAACGCACGGGGCGTCATCTTAGAACCGCGGAGCGATGAATTAGCCTGGCGAAGGACCCAACCATATGCAGTTGCGAGAACCGTCTTTGTGAGCATCGCATTCGGTGGGGCTCCCTATGGGGCCACGAAGTGCTGTCCTGGGCGGGGAGAAGCATGCGAACGCCCCCATTGCGACCTTCGGTGGAGCTCCCGATGGGGCCACGAAACGCTGTCCTGGGTGAAGGAAATGCATGCCAACACCCCCACTGAGGCCTTCGGTGGAGCTTTCTGTGGGGCCACGAAACGCTGTCCTGCGTGGGGGAGACGCTTGCGAACACCCCGATTGAGGCCTTCGGTGGAGCTCCCTATGGGGCCACGAAACGCTGTCCTGGGCGGGGGAGACGCATGCAAACACCCTCAGTGGGGCATTCGGTGGAGCTCCCTCTGGGGCCACGAAACGGTGTCCTGGGTGGGGAAGACGCATGCTAACACCCCCATTGAAGCCTTCGGTGAAGCCCCCTGGGGCTGCGAAATACTGTCCTGGGTGGGGAAACGCATGCGAACACCCCTACTGGGGCCTTCGGTCCCCCCTCGCCCCGCTAGCCCTGTTCCTGGACCCAGCCTCCCCACCTGGCCCAGCCTCGAAAAATCTATCGCGCCTCAGCTGCCAACAAAATTAATTCGAGCAGGTCCCAATCGACAACCGCTGATTCAGCACCGGGGCGCCCTGGCCCCACCTGCTCTCCTCCTCCTCCTCCTCCGCCTCCTCCTCCTCCTCCTTGTTTCTTCGATCCCCCCATCTGCGCCTCCTCCTCCTCCTCCTCCTCCTCCTCCTCCTCCTCCGCCTGCGCCTCCTGCTCCTGCTCCTCCTCCTCCTCCTCCTCCTCCTCCTCCTCCTCCTCCTTCTCTCCTCAAAGGTGCAAGAGCCAGAGCACGCGTGCCACTTGTCACAATGACACCGAATGCACGCTCTGCGCTGCGCCGAGCGCGAACATCCTCGCGCTCTTGCGTGAACCGCTGGAGGAGAGCAAACCTCCGACCCAGACTGGGAAGCGCGACTACATCTTGGCGCCCCCGCGGGTGAAATAATTAGATGAAGGGGGAGGGCGGGATAAGGACCACCTGCGCCTGCTCTCCTCTCATCTCCTCCTCCTCCTCCTCCTCCTCCTCCTCCTCGTCCTCCTCCTCCCCTCATCATCTCTAGGACATATCATGTTCGTCGCGGCTGTTTTTGTTGTGGTCCTGGGGCCCAAATACGGTGCGACTCAGAAACACCCATCTCCGGATTTTCGCAAGACGCCTGGACATGTTTGTCCCCCCCAGGACACCCAGGCTGCGTTCTGGCCAGAATTTCGAGGCAGGTCCAGCCATGGCCACAGGGGCACCCTAGGACTTTCAAACGGCTCCACGACATGTCAACGTTTCGATTCCAGATCCTCCTCCCTCCTCCTCCCCGCCTGGAAAACTCGTGGGCCCCCGCGGAGGCCTCGACTCCCTCCCGCGGACCGCGATTTCCCACCCGCATCGTCTATCGACCACGCACCGGCCCCAGGGAGAACCGCCGGGCCTGCGCAGAGCATGGCGCGAGAAGCCCAGCCGTGCAGAGCTCGGCGGGGCGGGCGGGCACATTGGACCGCGGGCGGCCCCGCGCGGCCGGGCTGTCCCAGAAGGCCGCCCAACTCTCGGACGCGTTCTGGAAGAAGCTCACCGCGCGGCCCGACACGGCCACCTCGGCGGCCGTCCCCGCACTCGGCGGCCTCCGTGGGCCATCGGCGGCGCCTGGCGGCCCCAGCCCTCGGCGGCCGTCGGGGGCGTTCGGTCGGCGGCCGTCGGGGGGACGACCCCCTCCTCCCCCCTCACAGGAGGCGACGACGAAGCCGAAGATCAGTGAACCCTGACCTGGCATGTGGAATCTGGCGTCGTGAACGCGTCAACCGCGGCGCGCTCGCTCGCCCCACTTCGGGGCGTGGGGCCAGCGATGCGGCTCGCAAGTCATGCGCAAAGATAATCGGGGAGACGTAAGACCCGGGTACGGGGGACTCGGAAATCCCCGACGAGGTCGTCAAAAAAATGACGAGGCCGAGCCTGCATTTTGACGAGGCCTCCCGCTGCAGACATCCCACGAAACTCCTCCTCGTCAAAATCCGAGTCGCGGTCGTCAAAAAACGATGGCGAACCCGAGTCCCGGCAAACCCGGGTCTTACGCTCCCCCGAGATAAGCATCACAGGTTTTGTTACAGGGCGTGGGGGACCACCTGTGCCGAAACGGCAAACAAGCGACCACGCACGCCGTAGAGCAGGACTTTCTCGACAAGAGGCCTGTCTGCGCAAGGAGCCCAGGCCCCCGACCTCCAAGGAGTCCGAATCGTGGACTCCTTGCCAACCCTTTTGAACCCAAGAGGCCCAGGACACCCAAGAAAAGACTACTCGGGCGTGTCCCCTTACAGGGGGATTTTGGACGAAAAATAACAAGTACGCAACACATGCTCAAAAGATGCCCACTCAAAAATAGTCCCCAGACTATTCTTTGATTATTCTTGAAGATTCCCCCTGTAGAGAGGGACAGGCCCGACTTAAAGACGCACAGAGGTGCAAAGGCAAGCGCGGTGGAGGCAGGGAGGTTGAGAACCGCAGGCACCTGGACAATCTTAGACATCCCCAGTCCAGTCGTGCTGAAGTACGCCTGGAGTCTCCGAGGTCGCCATCGGGTCCCGCCAGAGACCTGGCCCGAGCCGCGAAGAGATGGGAGCTCGAGGCGAAGGCTCACTCGACGCAGATTCCGTTGAAGAAGCAGAGGCTCCTGGACACTTGAAGGATTATCCTAGCATAGGGCCTGGACTTTCAGGAGGCTCAAGGCATCCCCACAGGCGCGCGGGAGGAGAGCCTGCCGTTCCTCCCCTGAGGGGCTCTGCGCCATCAGCCCCTGCTGGTCATCGCTCGGACGTCCATTCCCTGTGTTTTTTTCGGTTTCGTGCGTGGTTGTTTCGCGAACTGATCAAGGATGCTCCTCGATGGTCCTCGCCAAAGGAAACATGCACACGTCCGAGCGATGCCAAGCCAGCTGGTTTCGCACAAGCGGGCCAGTGACACTTCGGTCCTGCGGCGGGAATCCTCGCTGTCGAACGCCTTCCCACCCTTCCTCGGAGATCTCCCCCCCCCCTGCAAGGCCACGCAGTGCAAAGAGGCGCCAGCACAGAACAGAGCAGCGCAACGCGAGGCCGCCACACGCGTCAGCATTGGCTTGCTCAATCCACGCGTTGATCCTGAATATTTGCTTTAGTTTGGTCTATGTTTCGGCTTCCCTGTAGTCCCACCAGCCTTTCAGGGCATGAGAGGTTCAGCGAGTGTCCACTTCCAACCTCCTTCTTCTCCTCTGGGAAAGGGTTTACCACTGCGCCCTATAAATAAGCACCCCCTTCTACAGACGACTGGCAGCCAACCTGGACCAACGATGTCACCCCCCTACCATCCCTGGTAAACAACAATACAACATGCACTTTGCCTCCAAATCTGGCGCATGCGCGGGCACCCCGCGATCACTTCGCATTGGTTTTTGAAAGGGACGGCGGGGGTGCCGGCATGTTGCTTGCTGCGAACAGGCCTTCTAACAAAATGCTCGGCACTTCGATTCTCCTTGGGGCCAGGGCCGGGGTCCCTGCTGGTTCCCGGTAGCTGGCACACCTTGCGCGGCGGGAGCACGTGGCACACTTGGCGCACAAGGAACACGTGCCGCACCTGCCACGCTCGGGCTTCCAGGATGCCTGGTGCACCTGGAACGCGTGTTGTCCATGGCATGTGGGCGATCTGCTGACACTCGGGTGTTACGTATGTGTCGTGATGGCGGTTGGGAGTGAGCTAGACGGTCTGATATGTAGGAGGGTAGCTTGACCCCTCCCCCTACCCCCATACCCCTAAACCCGGACGGAGCGTTCCAGGAGTCGTTGGAGCGTCCAGAATGGCGTCGGCGAGCCAGCTAACATCGCTGATCAGATTGAGGAGGCCGGTCATTCATTGTCCCTGCGCGCGTGGCTGAATAAGGAACTCGTGGTGAGAATTCTGCATGTTGCGTTGTTGTTGTTGTTGCTGTTGCTGTTGTTGTTGTTGTTGTTGTTGTTGTGGTTGTGGTTGTGGTTGTGGTTGTGGTTGTGGTTGTTGTTGTTGTTGTTGTTGTTGTTGTTGTTGTTTGTTGTCGTCGTCCCACCCGCGACCCTCCCGCGACCCACCCCGCGACCCTCCCGCGATTCACCCCGCGACTCACCCGCGACCCACCCGCGACCCACCCGCGAGCCGCCCCGCGATCCATCCGCGACCCACCCCGCGACCCATCCGCGACCCATCCGCGACCCACCCGCGACCCACCCCGCGACCCAACCGAGATCCACCCCGCGACCCACCCTCAAGGGAGGAAAAACCACCCGGACACGACAACTGACGTTTACTAAACGGCCGTTGGCGTTGACTCAGCAGCCCTGCCCTGTTCGATTCAATCCTTGTGTGCGTTTACTAAACGGTGTCGCTTGCCGGGGTAATTATTATAAGGTGGATGTTCTGCCCTCTACACCCGCGACCCACCCGCGACCCAACAGCGACCCACCCGCGACCCACCCGCGACCCATGTGCGACCCACCCGCGACCCACCCAAACTGGTTTAACGAACAAGTCGGCGCCTGCGGCGGGTTCATTGTATAAGTTGTGAAACGTTGGCGCCTGCGGCGGGCTTCTCCAGAGTCTCGAATCTCGAAAACTGCCGACGTCCCCACCGCCCCCTCACTCTAATCCGCATCTGCGGGGTGCTACATATTGCCAAGGTTTTGGCCACATTTCGGCCTCCTGGGAGGTACCTGATTGAGGAGTTCCCTTCCGTTGACCGATCTCCTCTACCATTGGACCCGAAACTGCACCCGAGGCTCCCAAAGGGGTTCCCCAGGAGGGCCCCAAAGAGGTGCCCTGAGAACCCCCCCTAAGAGTCACCCACGGCGCCCCGAGAAACCCAGGCGAAGACGCCAAAATCACTGATGCGACGCTTGTGTTTTGGCCACGCGCTGGCCTCCCCGAAGAGGGGGGCGGGGCAACGCACGGTGTTCCCGTTGTGTGATCGATGCCGATGTCCCCCAATGTGCCCCCAGTGCGCTCCCAAGGGACCCCATAGAGGCCCCCAGAGGCCCCTCAGGGGCACTCGCGGCGCCCCCAGATGCCCCCCTGGGACTGCCAAGAGACCCCCAAGGCACCCCAAGATGACTCCAAATAGCTCTCGAAAAATGATCCTGGCGAAGGACCCAACCATATGCAATTGTGAATACTGCAATTGTGAATATCTTCTCGGTGGAGCCCCCTACGGGGCCACGAAACGTACGAGGGGTGTGCCGAAATGGATGTGCGGGACGCATGCGGGCACACCCACTGGGGCCTTCGGTGGAGCTCCCTATGGGGCCACGAAACGTGTGAGGGGTGTGCCGAAATGGGTGTGCGGGACGCATGCGGGCACACCCACTGGGACCTTCGGCGGAGCTCCCTATGGGGCCACGGAACGCGTGAGGGGCGTGCCGAAATGGGTGTGGCTGACGCATGCGGGCGCGGGCACTGGGGCCTTCGGCGGAGCTCCCTATGGGGCCACGAAACATGTGAGGGGTGTGCCGGATTGGGTGTGGGTGACGCATGCGGGCGCGGGCACTGGGGCCTTCGGTGGAGCTCCCTATGGAACCACGAAGCGTGTGAGGGGTGGTCCGAAATGGGTGACTGACGCATGCGGGCGCGGGCACTGGGGCCTTCGGTGGAGCTCCCTATGGAGCCGCGGAACGCGTGAGGGGTGTGCCGAAATGGGTGTGGGTGACGCATGCGGGCGCGGGCGGGCCGCGGGCAGCTCGGTGGAGCTCCCTATGGAGCCACGAAACGTGTGAGGGGTGTGCCGAAATGGGTGTGGTGACGCATGCGGGCGCGGGCACTGGGGCCTTCGGTGGAGCTCCCTATGGAGCCACGAAACGTGTGAGGGGTGTGCCGAAATGGGTGTGGGTGACGCATGCGGGCGCGGGCACTGGGGCCTTCGGTGGAGCTCCCTATGGAGCCACGTGTGAGGGGTGTGCCGAAATGGGTGTGGGTGACGCATGCGGGCGCGGGCACTGGGGCCTTCGGTGGAGCTCCCTATGGAGCCACGAAACGTGTGAGGGGTGTGCCGAAATGGGTGTGGGTGACGCATGCGGGCGCGGGCACTGGGGCCTTCGGTGGAGCTCCCTATGGAACCACGAAACGTGTGAGGGGTGTGCCGAAATGGGTGTGGGTGACGCATGCGGGCGCGGGCACTGGGGCCTTCGGTGGAGCTCCCTATGGAGCCACGAAACGTGTGAGGGGTGTGCCGAAATGGGTGTGGGTGACGCATGCGGGCGCGGGCACTGGGGCCTTCGGTGGAGCTCCCTATGGAGCCACGAAACGTGTGAGGGGTGTGCCGAAATGGGTGTGGGTGACGCATGCGGGCGCGGGCACTGGGGCCTTCGGTGGAGCTCCCTATGGAGCCACGAAACGTGTGAGGGGTGTGCCGAAATGGGTGTGGGTGACGCATGCGGCCGCGGGCACTGGGGCCTTCGGTGGAGCTCCCTATGGAGCCACGAAGCGTGTGAGGGGTGTGCCGAAATGGGTGTGGGTGACGCATGCGGGCGCGGGCACTGGGGCCTTCGGTGGAGCTCCCTATGGAGCCACGAAACGTGTGAGGGGTGTGCCGAAATGGGTGTGGGTGAC